TCATTGTCAGAAAAATCTACAAGTCTGCCCTTTTTACAATGCTTTTTTATTTATGCTTTAAAAAAAAAAAAGCATAAATATTAGTCTGCAAGAGCAGTCCTAAACAATCACAATTAAACTACTACATAAGAAGACTCTTTGTTATGAAGCATTTACTTCTCAAAAAATCATTACATTTCTATTTCTTGGTGGAGTAGCACATTGTGGGGTGATTCTTAATTCTTCATTAAGTTTGACAATAGGACATTCATGCTGGCTATGTTGCCTTTTATTTTGTTTTTATGTCTCAGACCGTCGTGTGAGGTTGCTCATCTCATAATACAGTTTTATGCAGAAAGATTGAAACTGTGTAAATGGATTTTGTGGAAATTATCAGTTACAATATTTTAAAGGGGTACCATGGTGTCTTTGTTTATAGGAGAACATTTGTAAATAAAGTTGAATTTCTAAGTCAAGCATTTGTTTTTGTAACTTAGTATAAACCTGTCAGTGTTAACTGCATTAATCTCCATTTTTTGTATAACACCTTTTATTATATGTTCTTTGCTATAAAATTGCTAAGTATAGATTTAATGAAAGTAAATATTTACATCTATTTTTTTTCTTCAGTGAATTAACTGAATTGCTGCCCTACATCCAGAAGACTCAGGAGCAACTTTTATTTCATGACTTAAGTTACTTCTAAAACTATGGAGTAGGTATTAAGTACCTTTTGGCCTTGCCTGAGTTAGAGATGGATGATCTTTGGACTCTGGGCTTGCAGCTAGAGCAAGGAATGTATCAGGGATTCTTAATTGATTACTTGACTCATGTGAATGACTGACTAATTTGGTACTTAGAGGCCATGTTCTTTCCGCTGTACAAAGAACTGATGCATGAGTTTGAGCTACTAAAAAGATTCAAAAAGAAGCAATGAGGGCAGGCCCATTTCCCCAGATGGTATGAGCAGTACAAAATTTTTTTTAAAAAAAAGAAAAGAGTGACCTTGATCTGATGCTATTTTTCATGTAAGATATTACAGCATACCTTCATATTAATTCATTATTGGGAGATCGTCCCAATATTCTATCAGGGAGCAGTCACAGAAGGGCCAGGATCAAAGTGTTCTGTAGCCAAGTAGTTCTGAGGAAAGTGAAGCACTGAACATCAAAATATGTCATAGAAGTCCACTTCATAATTCCACTTTTAATGTGGCTGAAGAGGGGTCTGTAAGCTTTCACAGGTCAGTCCTGGCTTACCCAGTGCAGTTGTGATTCAGTAACCATAGTGTGTTATTTTAGTAGACAATAACTTAAGTGCCTGTTGGCCTGCCCACGTCTTCCCCTTCATGCGTTCTCAGGATTTACAATTTGTGATTATTCTGCACTCCAGATACTGATGATGTTTATAGCCCTTATGTATTCTGGCCCTATGTTTGCATGCCTCTGAACTGTGCGAAGGCTCTTCGCTCTATTCTGTAGATATTAACCAAATTTATACCCCAATCCCTAATTAAGTACAGTGGTTTTCAAACTTTTATTGTTAACAGCAGACTCAGATTTTCAAAGGAGTACTGACATAGAACTGTAACATTCCAATATCGAAAAGAGATGAGAGTAGGTCCATTTATTTGTTTTTAGTTGAAATAGGGCTGGGACTCAAAGGCTCACTATTCAGCCTCCTGCACTGTCAAGCTTCCCAAGGCGTTTCCATAAAACCCTAAATTTTCAAAAACATAGCTATAAAGTACCTTAAAAATCCCTGCTTTAGCCGTAAAAAAGAATTAGATCATGTCTTTTGTAGGAACATGGAGCTGGAGGCCATCATCCTTAGAAAACTAATGTAGAAACAGAAAAACAAATACCTCATGTACTCACAAGTGGGAGCTGAATTAATGAGAACTCATGGACATAAGGAGGGCAACAACAGACACTGGGAGCTATTTGAGAGTGGATGGTGGGAAAAGAGGAGCAGAAAAAATAACTTGGCTTAGTACCTGGGTGATGAAATAATCTGTACCAAAGCCCCGTGACACAAGTTTAACAATTTAACAAACCTGTACATGTACCCCTAAATCTAAAATAAAAGTTAAAAAAGTAAAAATACAAATACTTTTTAAAAATCCCTGCTTTAGGGAGGGTGGGAGGGGTTAGGGATACAGAAGCTACGTATTGAGTACAATATATAGTAGTCCAGTGATGGGTACACTAAAATTTCAGACTTTACACCACTATATAATTCATCAATGTAACCAGAAACCACTTGTACTCCTAAAGCTATTGAAATAAAAAGCTAGATGAGTTCCCCCACCTTCCTCCCCCTAACAAAATCATTGCTTTAGATGCATAAGAATAGGGAATCTGATCTGTGCTCTAGATGGGTTACATGTGTAATACTGGTGAAATGACAAGAAAAAACAAGATATTTAACTAGTTAAAAGAGTAGGAGGCAAGATATTTCTAATATATCAAGCAAACCTTTTACCATGCGACTAAAAGAAAACTTCCTAAGATCTCAGTAGTTTTTGCTGTCCTATCTGTAAAATTGGTCCGTAACCTCAGAACAAAAGTCTGGCCAGATTGTCATATATATATAAAATCTTACAGATCACTAATAATTGGATTCTAGGTGTGCTTCAACCAAATAGATGTTCTCCTGAAGTAAAATGTTTTTTATGAAGTAAATCATTTTCTCAATATTAGTTTCTAAGTTATTACCAATGTAACATTTTGAGGCTGGGCACAGTGGCTCACACCTGTAATCCCAGCATTTTGGGAGGCCAAGGTGGGCAGATCGCTTGAGGTCAGGAGTTTGAGACCAGCCTGGCCAACATGGTGAAACCCCGTCTCTACTAAGAGTACAAAAGTTGGCCAGGTGTGGTGGCATATGCCTTTAATTCCAGCTACTCGGGAAGCTGAGACACGAGAATTGCTTGAACCTAGGAGGTAGAGGTTGCAGTGAGCCGAGATTGTGCCACTGTACTCTAGCCTGGGCTACACAGTGAGATTCTGTCTCAAAATAACAACAACAAAAATAACATTTTAATACCAATCAGAATGGAATTATTTTTTTTGAAGACTTCACTTGGCCCTGATTGTTCATTGTAAGTCAAATATTGTGAAAACATTTGGTGCAAGGACCTGGGACACAGTGGGCAATGTCCATGGGTATCAATGGTCAAGGTAAGTTTGGAATCCTGTTTGTGTTCCAGTTCAGATACTACTTTATGTCTTCATTCCTTTGGGTTTTTTGCCCCATCTTTTTTTCTGAATACAGCCCCTCCCTTTGGAGGGGCTGAATTCCTTCTTTATAGATCTTGCCTTTCATCAAGTAGATCCATTTGGAGAGGAGAAAGCCATTAGTCCTATTCCATTATTCCACATAATGTGAATGAAGTGGGGCATTGGTACTCACTCCTGTAATCGCAGCACTTTGGGAGGATGAGGTGGAAAAATTGCTTTAACCCAGGAGTTTGAAACCAGTCTGGGCAACTTTGTGGGACTCCACCCTGTCTACAAAAATCAAAACTAGCCTGTTGTGGTGGTGTGCACCTGTGGTCCTAGCTACTGGGGAGGTTGACGCAGGAGTATCCCTTGAGCCTCGGAAGTTGAAGCTGCAGTGAGCCATGATTGTGCCACTGCACTCCATCCTGGGTGACAGAGTGAGGCCCTGTCTCACAAAACAAAACAGAACACTATCAGTTACATTATCCAATTGCCCAGTCTTGGAGCCTAACAATTGATGCCTTCTTCTCCCTAACCCCAGTCTAATCTGTCACCAGTTTCTGTTTTGCCCTCCGCTTTGTTTTCACACATTCTAGTTAAAGTATCTCTCTTGTAGCCCTGCAGTGAGTCTCTTATCGGGTCTCACCCATTCTGGCATCTCTTCTATCCATACTGCAGGCAGAGGAAGCATTTAGAAGAATACATTTCTTATATTACCTACTTAAAATCCTTCGGTGATGCCTTTTTTTTTCCCCCCCCCGAAGACCTTGGATAGTGATGCCTTAATCTGGTCAAAGACTCAACTGGCTCATAAGAGGAAACTAGGACCAAATTCTTTTTCCTTCAACCAATTATACCCTCACACAGAAAACTTAGCAAATATAAGTGAGACAAAGCAACCTTCAGATCCAGTGGGGAGGAAAAGCAGAAGGCTCCTAGTCCAGGGGACAGCTCCTAACAGGGCTGACTGCAGCCTTGGGTAGTGGGGGTGCTAGATTGTGATATAAGGGTGGCATATATGATCCCCAGTCAAGGACAGAGCAGTGGTCTTACCAAGCAGTACAACCTTTATATAAGGTGTAACCCGAGTCAGTATCCTATTATGTCAAGACTGATCCAGAAAGTTGTTCAGTCATTTTCATAGTGCATAAGAGTGACCTTTCTGCGCTGTTATTCGGGTCCACACAACTTACTTGGATCAAGAGGAGACAAGTAGAGACCCCCACGAGTGTGGCAGCGGAGCGGGAAGGGAGATGGTTCTGAGTGTACCAAGATAAGAGCTCCCCTGGAACAGGAAGGCACGGCCTGTGGTGGCTCTAACCCGAAGAGAGGCAGGGTGAGAACATTAAACTTTCGGGATCGCTGAAGCGGAAAAGGAGGGACGTTGCGGCCTGAGGGAGTAGTTAATGGAGAAACAACAAGTGCCAGGTGTTATTCAAGTAGCTAAGGGGGAAATGGCGACTTCGGGGATTGGGCGCGTTTAGTACAGTATGACTTCTTAAACCTCCAGAGTGAACAAATGATGGAGGAGGGAGGGTGAAGGCAAAGAACGCTACTCAGTAACGCTCGGTTCAACAGTAGTGCTGTAGATTGGCAAACAGCTACCGAGCAAAGGCAGGGGATTATATTTCCTCGTGCATCCTGACCCACGAAGCCGCGCAATTGCGGGAGCAGATCCTGCAAATGACTACGCTTTTCGTCAATGGCGGTACAAGCCGAGGACTGTTCCACGCGGTGGGTGGGTACAGGCGGAGGACTACTCGGAGGGGCGGGGCGAGCCGGGAAAGACCGAGCTTCCGGCGTGGCCAGGCCAGCTTCCGGCGTCCGTCGGTCAGCTGTGGGGTGCTCTACCCCGGCTGTGAGGACCCTGAGGGCTGTGCAGCTGACTGGCGTTGTGGTCAGCGGGGGCCTTTCCAGAGGACGGCGTGCGGACTGTGGGTAAGGAGCCGTTGTAGGACCCAAGCAGAATAAGCGGAATTGGGGCCAGGAGGCTGCAGTTTGTGATAAGGGTCGGGCACTACCAGCATCACCCACAGGCCGCCCTTCCTGTGGGGCCGGGCCAGCCTGCGCTCTGGCTCTGTGCTCATCCCACGCCTTCCGCATCGGGACCGCCCCCTTTGCCGTGGCCCTGCGCGTGCGCACAGCAGGGCACAAGGCGCGTCGAGTGTCTCTCCGGGCGGATCCTGACACTAGTGTGTCAGTCATTCCTGGAAGCGTGCTCTTGGACTGTATTTCGGAACTAGCATCCCTCCTGGTCAGTTTGGCGTTTGCCAGGCCCTGGTACTTGGACTAGAACCCAGTGCATTGGCGAGTCTTGAGGAGCCTTCCCTGCCAAGAGATGGGCGGGCCGCGGGGGGCGGGGGGCGGGGATCGAAGTTGAGTTGGTGCTGAAAGAGTTTGTTTCTGGGGCCTTACAGCTCTGGACACCGGGATTCTTGAGTTTAGTTAATTCAGAATGTTTCTTGAACACTTAAATAACACAGTGGGAAAGGCAACACCGCCCCTTAGGCACAGAGCTCAATAGTTTAATAGGAGAGGCGCGGGCTGGTAACCAGGACTGTGGTAAATGTGGGAGCACAGGTGGCTCCTAGCCCAACCTTGGGAGAAAAGGAGTTGGACCCAGGAGGGGCACGCCAGAGGAAGTGATGCTTATCTGAGACTAAGGGCTGAAGGGATTAGGCAGGAGACGGGAGGATGTAGTGCAAGTAGTTTAGACGAAAGTCCAGCAATGAGGGAGGCAAAGTGTAGAGCTCTTGGCTGATTGAGGTACCATGGAACTTGGGTGCCAGTAGACAAATGAGTTGGAGAGGGTAAACCAGGACTCTGTCCGTCAGTGTTCATTGTTCAGATTTAATCCAGAGGACAGCGGGGAGACACTGGAAGAATTTTAACTGGAGAGTGGCTGAAGAATACCATCATTTATTGAATGCATACGGAAAAGTCTGGAACCACATAGGGGAGGAAAGAGAATTTACTTCCCAGGGGTTTTAGGAGGCATGTTCTGCAGAGCCCCAATCTCCCAAGGACAATTTGTATTAAAATTCCTTGTTTTATCTTAAGTATGCAAGTTTTGAATAATATGCCTTAATGTATCTTTAGATAAGTTTTCTCAAATCCCCAAGTTAGGCTTTAGAACTTTGCATCATATGTATCCTGTGATTTTTGTAGCTGTTGATATTTTCGTAATGTTCCCTCCTCGCTTCTCTCTCCTGCCCTCCGCATACGTAATCCAACTTTTCTATGAGCGGCACAGTTCACAATTCTTTATAGGTATTACTTTCTTTAATCCTTTTATCAACCATTAGAGTTGTGTTATTTCTACATTAGCAATGGAGAAACTGAGACAAAAAGGTTAAGAAAGTTGCCCAGGTGCATCCAGCTAGTGAATGGAGATTTATACCCAGGCCATGTACGACTCCTTTGTTCTTGTCCTTAACCACTGTACAGTTGCATTTTAAGGAGTAATTTAGGGCTGGTAATAGGGAGGAGATGCAAATCAGAGAGGACAATCAAGTTGTTGAAATAGTCTAGATGAGAGACGATTTCACACTTCAGAAAGATAGTTTTAATAATGAAGAGAAGTGGATTTCAGACTGTAAAAGAAGTAGAACTGACATACTTTGGCATCTGGATTGATGGTGCTGCCAACCATTTATAAGGATGGCTGGGAAAGAGCACCTTTGAGGGTGAAAGGACTTGGATTGAGATGGCCCTGTGATATTCAAGCCCAGATGTCCTCTGAAGTATCTGGAAACGCTGCTCTTGGGATGAGAAAATTTGCTTTTCTTCTTTGCATTGAATATGTACCACTGTCCGTGGTTTATGGCTCTTCTAAGGGGTGTCCCATGTAACTTGTTCTGATTATGAGAGCTGGTGGGTATGGACCCCAGATAAATTCAGGCACTACGTTTGAAGCCTTTATAGTTATTTCGAGGGTTATACTAGTATTTTTCAATTACATTTTATCATATATCAGTTTGTAGTTCAGGTACCAAGTATTAAACAGGTTCAAGGCCAGGCGTGGTGGCTCATGCCTATAATTCCAGCGCTTTAGGAGGCTAAGGTGGATTGATCACTTGAACTCATCAGTTCGAGACCAGCCTGGGCAACGTGGTGGTACACATCTGTGGTTCCAGCTACTTGGGAGGTGGAGGTGGGAGGATGACTTGAGGCAGGGAAGCAGAGGTTGCAGTGTGCTGAGATTGTGTCACTGCTCTCCAGACTAGGAGATAGAGTCAGACCTTGTCTCAAAAAAAAAAAAATAAGTTTGGACAAGAAGAGAGGTCATAGTGATCAAGTGATCAAGTTAGTGGGGCTAACTGAAGAAGTAAGTGTATTTTGAGGTATGAGTGGGACACCTCAATTTTATTATAGGCTTTAGTCACTCTCAAATATGTGGTACTCCAGAAGAGCATTTTAGAGATTAAAAGGTATGTTCTGTGGAACTGATGAAAGCAAAGAATATAGGCTTTTAAAATGTTTTGGTAACATTAAGCCTGTGTGGATGCTTCAATAAGGATTAAAATGATAAACATTTATGACAGTTCCCTGGCTCCAAGTAAATGGTAGAATTCTTACTTTGTTTTTCTAATCTTGTTCCTATTTTGTTCTTCAACCACCTTCAGAGGTAACATTTTTATTGAATATTAGATGTCTCCCATAAAAGTTGGACTTTGAGAGAAGCAATTTTAGATTCCGCTGAATATACGAAAAGAAAATGCTTTGCCTTTTTTGCCCATCCTTTTGTGGTGCAGTTAGTGTACTTCAAAGAATTTTTCAACTATTTCACATCCAGATAGAATCCCTAGGAATGGTCTAGTCTTTTGACGAACAAGCTGTTTTCCCTCTCAGGCAGTTAATAGTGGAGGCTGTTGTTTATATAATCCTTCAATTCAAGGTCACAATAAAGATCTGAAATAGAATAACATGTGGACCATTACAAAAGGGAGGATTTTGCCATTGAAACTTGGTTAACCACTGCTCTTACTATGTTTTTTTAACTTCTGCACTCTTTTTTCTCCCTCTTTCATAAGATACAGTATGAAAGACAAAGAGAATCAGATATTTACTTAAAATTCAAAATGCTTTGGAGGCGGAGGCTTTTATGCGGAGGGTATAGTAATTCTCTGGACTACTGGATTAATTTAGTTTTTTATAACTATTAAATGTATGAGAAATACCTGACTATAAGAAGACTCATTTTTATTGTGAAATATGTCATCTATACAAGAGTTTGTAAGACATAAATGTTTTAAATAATTATAGTAAAATCAAAAGCACCCATATTCTCATTGTCTAGGTTAAGCAGTAGAGTATTGCCAGACCTAGAGACTCCCTTTGTGCTCCTCTTGGTTTGCATGTGCTTCCTATCCTCTGGAGGATAATCAGTATCCCCACTCTCGTGGTAATCATTCCCTTGCTTCTCTTTACAGTTTTATCACCCATGTATGCATCTGTATTTTTGAGTTCTATAATATTAAACCATACTGTATATATTCTTTTTTGACTTGCTTTTTTCACCCTCTAGTAGATTTCTGGAGTTGTTAAAAGATGATGTTTATGAATTCTTTCTACTACCTTTTTTTGTGTGTGTATAAATATACCACAACTTACTTATTCATTCTGTTGTTGATGAACATTTGTATTGTTTTCATTTTCTGCTGCTGTGGAAGTCTTTGTTCATGTCTCATGGTACACTGTAAAAGAATCTCTCAAAGTGGAATTGCCAGATTGTAGAGTATGGTGGAATTGTAATCTGAAATTACGACATGTGGAAAAGTAATCTAATCTGGAAGTAGAATTACCAGATCGTAGAATATGGCAATGCCAGACTTATTCCAAAATGCTGGTATTATATTCTTTGACTAACAACACATGGGAATTCCTGTTGACAATCTTTGGTATTTGCAGACTTCAATTTTGCCCATCTGTAGGTTGGTGCAGTGATCTCACTGTGCTTGAAATTTGCATTTTCCTGATTACCAGTGAGTTTTGAGTATCTTCATTTATTTGTTGTTCAGATTTGTTCTTTTTCTTCTTCTTTTGAAACAGAGTCTCACTCTGTTGCCCAGGCTGGAGTGCAATGGCATGGTCTCAGCTCAATGCAACTACCGCCTCTCAGGTTCAAGAGATTCTCCTGCCTCAGCCTCATGAGTAGCTAGAATTACAGGTGCCTGCTACCACACCCGGCTAATTTTTGTAGTTTTAGTAGAGACAGGATTTCACCATGTTGGCTAGCTGACCTCGGGTCATATGCCCACCTCAGCCTCCCAAAATGCTGGAATAACAGACATGAGCCACTACACCTGGCCAGATTTACTCTTTTATAAAAGATATATTGAGATCTTATGCCATTTTTCTATTTGGTTGTTCATCTTTTTCTTAATATTTGTACTTTATATTTTCTGCAATCTTGTCTTTTCCTACATGTGTTAGAAAAATAAGGTCTTTTTGTGTATTTTCACTCTATGGTGCTCTTGAAATATAGTTGAATTTATATGTCTTTTCTTCAATGGTTTGTGCTTTTTATGTCTCATTTTAGAAAGCCTTTCCTGTCCTAAAGTCATGAAGATACTCTCCTGTCTAAAAGTTTTACAATTGCGTCTTAAACATGTGGTCGTTTAATCTCCTTGGGAAAAAAAAAATTGTTGTGTGTGGTGTGATGTGGGAGTCGAATTTCATTTTTTCTCATATGGATAGTCCGTGGTTCCAACACCATATCACTGACCACTTTATTTTTTCTTTACTAACCTGAAACACTATTTCTATCATATATCAAGTTTCTATACATATTGAGATCTTTTTCTGTATTCTCTATTCCATTGATCATTTTGTCTCTATATGTACTAATACCACATCATTTTAATTAATTACAAGGCCTCATTAAGTAAGTCTGGCTATTAGGTAAAGCAAGGCTGGCTTTCTTTTTCTTCTTCAGT